GCGGTGGCTTTTGTGTGCTGAGCTGGTTGGCAGAGCCACGCGAGCGAGTCGGGACGATACCCGCGACGGATTTCAGCCACGCGCAGAGGGGGGTGGGGGGAAGGGTGGAGGGCTTCTTAGGAGCAACCTTGCTTCTTCGAAGGCGCGGGCCTTATCTATAGATGTAAGGTCGGCGCCTTCTAATGAGCAGTCTCCTTCTGAGAAGCCCTCCCCCCTCCCTCCACCTCCTTGTGCGCACCGCCAAGGATTCTTCAGACGACGCCGACCGTGCACAAGAACAGCTCGGCAGTTTGGGATGCACCCCTCGAAACCCAGCGGCAGCGGCCCATAGTATCCCCATCTAGGGGGGAAATCGGCCAGTGGGGCCCGGGGCCACGCCCATGGGGATTGGGGGCCAGTTGAACGATGCCCAAGGGCACCTCTCCAGGCATCCGACGTTGTCTCTGTTTCGCAGCGTGGGCCCCGACGGGTCTAGACCCCTGTCCCGGGGCCGTCTCCTCGTCCTGGGTCGTTTCTTGACGGCCCTGGGGCCCGGTGAGTGCCCCTCTGGAGAAGGAAAGCGATGTCCAATGCCGTCTTGACGTTCTCAGGACGCTGGACCGAGGTCACCTCAATGAGTACGATGTGTGCGTCGCCCACCTGGGGGCGACGCACGCGTCGAGAAATGTTAGAGTTCAAGCTCCGTGGCGGGCGTGTGTGGTCCTCCTGCTCCTCCTCCTCCTTTTCTTCCTCCTCCTCCTCCTCTCCTCCTCCTCCTCCTCCTCCACCTCCTCCTCCACCTCTCTCCTCCACCTCCTCCTCGTCCTCCTCCTCCTCCTCCACCTCTCTCCTCCACCTCCTCCTCTTCCTCCTACTGCAAGACGTGTTTGTGCTCTACTCGGCGTGGCCGTGCGCCTCCGAGAGGAGGAGGGCGCACGGCAGTTCCCGGCGCGTGCGCGTCTGCGTCCCGCTTTCGGAGGCCTCTCTGCCTAGCCTCCGCAGGCACGCTGCCGGCGATGGAGGTAACGGCGACGCTCAAGCAGTGGCGAAGCGTCTTGGCTCGCCTATAGCCCTACCAAGCAATGTTCTAAGAGCCTTTCGTGGTTTCCACGGAATGTTCTTGGAACATTTCTGGCGGAGTCTGTCTTGTTTGGACACATCGGGTTTATGATTTATGAGCATTGTCTTTGTTCTTAGAACATGTTTTGGATTCTAAGAACATCTCGTGGTAGGACTATAGGAATGCCTGGACGGTCGGTCCCCGCTCAAGACGCAGGCTTCTGTATTGTAGGGCAGAGGAGGACAGGTACCCATACCTCTATCCTCCGCCTGTTCTCCCCTTTTTGGGCCTCCTCGGAGGCCCTTGCCGCCACTGCTGGATCCGCCTCGAGATTCTGGTCAGAACGCACCCTGGGAGAGGTCCGGGGTTTAGGTATTGTAGGGGTCCCGTCGGAGGTCTCGGCCTGTCTCCGCAGACACGCTGACGGCGATGCAGGTAGCGGCGATGCAGGTGTCGGCATTGGAGGGGAACGACGAATGACATAAGCATGAACACTCGATTCGGGGAAACGTAAGACTCGAGTAAGCCGGAACTCGGGTTTGCCAACGTTTTTTGACGAGCGCGTCCTGGATTTTGACGGTCCAGTTTTCGTGAGATGTCTGCAGCGGGAGCCCGCGTCAAATTTCGGATTGGGTCTCGTCATTTTTGTGATGGCCCCGTTGGGCCCAACCCGAGTTCCCCGTACCCGAGTCTTACTTCTCCCCGATCGATGGTTTATGTCATCCGTCGTTCCTTTATTATTGTACTTGGGGGTGGTTCGTGGCCAGCCCACTCGCAGGAAGGGCCTGTTCGTGTCGTGGCACGACCTGTCCTGCCTGCGAGGTCGGCGCCGCAGACGCCAGCTTCCCGGCACCGCCGGGCACCAGCATCGCCGTCAGCGTGGTCTTGGCCTCTCTCTCTCTCTCTCTCGCTCTCGCTCTCGCTCTCTCTCTCTCTCGCTCTCTCGCCCTCTCTCTCTCTCTCTCTCTCCCGCTCTCGCTCTCTCTCTCGCTCTCTCGCCCTCTCTCGCCCCCTCTCGCCCCCTGCTCGGCGCCGCACGCCCGGATCCGGGCGCCGGACGCCCGCGAGGGGCCTCGCGGCCGCGGGAGGCCTCCGGCCGCCCGGCGTGGGGCTCCGTGGCCCGCCGGCTCGGCTCCTCTGCCGCGGGTGGCCTGAGAGGTTCCTGCCGTTGGGCCCTCCCTCGCCCCTCTCGGCCCTCTCGCTCGCTCTCTCTCGGCCCTCTCTCGGCCCTCTCTCGGGTCTCTCGCCCTCGCCCTCTCTCGCCCTCTCTCGCCCTCTCTCGCTCTCTCTCTCTCGCTTCCTCGCCCTCCCTCGCCCCTCTCGGCGCTGGGCGCCGACGACTGGGGGGCCGTGCGCGCGGTGGGCCGGCGGAGGGGAGGCCTCCTGCCGCCTGGTGTGGGGCTCCACGGCCAGCCTGCTTGGCTCTTCTGCCGCGGGTAGCCTGAGGTTACTGCCGTTGGGCTTTTAGACCCCCCCTAAATTGCTGGAAGCCAGTCGTCTGTTCGGCGACCGTCTTGACGGACTGGGGTCCCACCAACAGTGGATAGTCATACTTTCTTGACGACGA